ATATATATTAAAAAAAAAAAAAAAAGAAAGAAGTGGAACTTTGGGTCTGTCCAGCATGTGCATTCCTCATACAGTATTTAAGATTCTGGCTGGTTTTATGCTAAGAAAATTCTGAATGAAGTTTTACGGGTTTTGTATTCTATCAAATCAGTCCTAGGGACTGTGAGGTCTGTGCTGGTTGTTGCTGCTGTTCCCCTCATTTTACTGTGAGCTGCGGGGAGGGGCTGGAGGGGGAAGCACGTGTTTGGTTTTGTAATAGCATTTAGGTTGCCAGTTTTTACCACCCATGGCTGTGTTTATCAAATCCTGATGTGGAATGACATCTGCTGTGGCAGTAGTGTGCCACAGTGCACATCTGGCCTTTGGTCTCTGTATTCCCAACAACCAGTTACATCCGTTGTAAAATGAGTTAGAATCAAGCGAGATCTGTGCTCCCCAATATTAAAAGAGTTCTTAAGCTTTCAGCAATTACTGAAAGATTTAACGACTGTGCAACCTAATATGTATATTTGTGAGTGTACAGACATCACAAGGACGGTATTTCATGCAGTTGAAGATTCAGTAACCAGTGCCTTGGCCTGCTACAGAGGATTACTGCTCTAGAAAAGCAATGATTTAAAAAAAAAAAAGGAATCTACCAAGCTGGGCTCATTAGCCTGGATTTAAATGTACATTACAATTGTTATAAGGCACAGGGGGAGGGATCTTTCATTTTGTTCTTGATTACTTAGTCCGTAGTAGCTCATGCATGTAAGAAGTGGTGGAGCACAAATAAAGATGCATAAAAGAAGTTAAGCAGCTTTAATGACAACAAATGACCACCTCCTGTTTTCAGGTGCTTTTAAGAGGTTTAAATGAGATACTTGTTCAATAATCCTATTGAGACACACTGAGGCTTTTGAAATACTTTCTATAGTGTTGAAAACTGCTGAAACTCTGTAGTATATAGCAATTTGAAGAAAAACATACTAAAAACTGACTTTGTCACATTTTTTTTCTGTGTTATTTTATATTTTCTTCATAGCAAATCGATGTATATATGAGCCTTAATGATAATTGGATGGTCATAACACGTATTTTTAAAATAAACATTTGAGTTTTAGTTTATCAATACAATTCTTTTTTTTCCCTTTCAGTTCCTTCGAATATGTGCCGATCTTTTCCGCCTGGTCCCTTTCTTGGTTTTTCTTGTTGTCCCATTTATGGAATTTTTGCTTCCAGTAGCTCTTAAGTTGTTCCCTAATATGCTTCCCTCTACATTTGAGACAAAGTCTAAAAAGGTAAGCAGGTCTGAATTTATAATACAGTAATATTTTTTGAAAAAAAGTAGGAATCTCCTTGGTAAAGAAAATAGAAAAAGTCTAAAAGGTTGGATTGGGTTTTTTTTTCAGTGTTAGGGTAGTGCTTTTATCTTACTTACCTTGTTTTGAAGATCTTGCTGTTTAACGTATGGTAATGAACCAGTGCCGTCCTGGTTTACCTTTTTATATGTGCAGGTGCTGAGCTATCAGGGCTCTGAGCCTCTCTTGTCTCTTCTGCTATCCCCATCTCCATTTTCAATTCAGAAATGAAAGCTCTGAGACTTTATTTTTCTAACTTACAAATGCTGTAACATTTGTAGTCTTTATTCTTGATACAAGGTTTTTCATATGTATACTTAATACATAAAACAGCTTCTTACACATTTTTTGTTTAGAGTTTATTTCTTTTAGTTAAGTTTTATCAGAATTAGAAATCCCACCCAAAAACCCTACAAGTTCTCACTTTCAGAGTACAAAAAGCCTCCACGAGGTTTGTGCATGGGGAGCTCCCAGTCAGTCACAGATATAATCAATTGTGATTGTGTACTGGGATCTAAATAACCACTCATCTCCAATTCTGTGATGAATTCTCTTTGTTTGGATGAGATGTAGTGTAGGATTTCTGGGCTGGATACAAGAGTTTGGAACTACCCAAACCAGTTTGTTAGTTTCAGTCTTTTTGTTGCTAATTTAGAGGGTTCACTTTAGTTTTAGCAGGTGAGGCCACTCCTGGCATTGCATCTCATGCCTCGTGGAGCTTGGAGCCTATTTTCTAGTGTAATTTGGGGATCTTAGGTAAGAGTGACTGCCCTCATGGGATGTATGTGTTACAGTAGAAGCCCAGGAGTACTCCACGTGACTTACTTGGGGCCAGAAGAAGTGATATTTCATGCACGTTTCTTGAAGGAACTTTTAAAACCAAATGTTTTCTTAACAGGAGGAAAGGTTGAAGAAAGAATTGAGAGTAAAACTTGAATTGGCTAAATTCCTTCAAGACACCATTGAGGAGATGGCATTAAAAAACAAAGCAGCCAAGGGAAATGTGGCAAAAGATTTTTCAACGTTCTTTCAAAAGGTAAAAAAAAATTTAAAATGTGTTTACTCTTGCTACAGAAAATGGCTTGGTGTTTTATTTAGTCTGTGGTAATCATCAGATACCTTTATCCTGTTGGACTTGAAGAAGCAAGATGTAGAAGCTCTTTTAGGATAAATTTCTTTTTTGGAAGTAATACTTCAGTGTAATGAACTTCTTTGGTGTTCTAGCTGGTGCTTTTATTCTATTAGCAGTGTATTTCTGCTCATTTGCTTCTTGTTGTCTTGTTTTA